CTTTTAATTGATTTTAATTTGAAGTCTAATTTGTTAGATATTAGGATTGCTACACCCGCTTGTTTCTTGGGACCGTTTGATTGGAAGATCTTTTCCCAACCCTTTACTCTGAGATAACGTCTGTCTTTGATGTTGAGATGTGTTTCTTGTATGCAGCAGAAGGAAGGGTTCTGTCTTCGTATCCATTCTGCTAGTCTGTGTCTTTTTATAGGCAAGTTGAGGCCGTTGACATTGAGGGATATTAATGACCATTGATTGGTGATCCTTGTTTGTGCTTGATTTATTGTTAGTGAAGTTATTTTGTGTAGTTTCTCCTCCCTTTTTCTTTTGGTGTTTTGTAAAGTGTCATTATATATTGCCTGTGTCTTTGTGAATGTAGTTATCTTCCTTGGCTCTAGGTTTTCCTTCTAGCATTTTCTGTAGAGCTGGAATCATGGATACGTATTGTTTAAATCTGGCTTTGTCATGGAATATTTTGTTTTCTCCATCTATGGTAATTGAGAGCTTTGCTGGATATAGTAGTCTGGGCTGGCATCCTTGTTCCCTTAGCGTTTGTAGGACATCTGTCCAGGATCTTCTGGCTTTCATCGTTTCCATTGAGAAGTCAGGTGTAATTCGGATAGGTCTACCTTTGTATGTTACTTGGCCTTTTTCTTTAGCTGCTCTTAATATTTTCTCTTTACTCTGTAGGTTTGATGTTTTGATTATTATATGGCGAGGTGACTTCTTTTTCTGGTCGAGCCTATTTGGTGTTCTGTAAGATTCTTGTGCTTTCATAGGCATATCTTTCTTTAGATTAGGGAAGCTTTCTTCTATGATTTTGTTGAATATGTTTTCTGTACCTTTAAGTTGAATTTCTTCTCCTTCTCCTATACCTATTATTCTCAGGTTTGGCTTCTTCATGGTGTCCCATATTTCCTGGATATTTTGTGTTAAGGATTTGTTGGTTTTGAGATTTTCTTTGGTTGACGACTCTATATCCTCTAATGAGTCTTCAACACCTGAGATTCTCTCTTCTATCACTTGTATTCTATTGGTGATACTTGCATCTGTAGTTCCTGATCGTTTTCCCAGCTTTTCTATTTCCAGCATCCCTTCATTCTGTGTTTTCTTTATCGTTTCTATTTCAGCTTTCAATCCTTCAACTGTTTGAGTTGTTTCCTTAATTTTTTTGGTTGTTCTTTCTTGGTGCTCTTTAGATTCTTTGAGAGATTTGTTTATTTCTTGAATTTTTTCCCCCATTTCATGGATTTTTTGTTTGTTTTTTCTTCTATTTCTTTAAGGGATTTCCTTGTTTCTTCTTTGAGGGTCTCCATCATCTTCATGAAATAATTTTTAAGGTCTGTCTCCTCTTCTTCGTCTATGTAGTGCTTTTCGGGTCTTGCTGGTATTGGATCCCTGGATCCTGGTGGGGTCATGTTGATGCTTCTATTGCTGAGTGATCTCTTATTTTGTCTTCTTCCCATCTCTTCTTTCAGTGGGTGCTGGTGGGGTCTTTCCGTCTCCACTGGTCTCCTTCCTTCCTGCAGCTGAAGCTGGGGATGCTGACACAGAGTTTGGGTCCTGTTAGGGCTGATGTCTTTCCTGAAGCTGGTCTCACTGGGATTGGGGTCTTGGAATTGTTGACTTCTTTGCTGTGTGGGCAGGTCTCCTGAAGCTGTACTCACTGGGGTTGGGGTCTTGGAAGGGCTGATGACTTTCCTGAAGCTGGACTCGCTGGGGTTGGGGTCTTGGAAGGGCTGATGTCTTTCCTGAAGCTGGACTCACTGGGGTTGGAGTCTTGGAGGGGCTGATGTCTTTCCTGTGTGGGCGGGTCTTCTGGATGCCAGGAGCGGCCCGGAAGATCAAGGGGGGATGGGGGATGGGCAGGCAGTCCCCGCCGGAGACCCAATCTCACCTGAAGCTGGACTCGCTGGGGTTGGGGTCTTGGAGGGGCTGAAAAAAAAAAGAGGTTTTAGAAAATATTTATTTTTCATTATTGTGTGTGTATGTGAATGCCATGTATGTACCATAGTGTGAGTATGGAGGTGAAAGGAGAACTTTGTGGAGTCAATTCTATCTTTATGTGTGTTCTGGGAGTTGAGCAATGGTCATCAGGCTTGTGTGATAATTACCATACCTGTTGAGCTATCTTGCGGGCCTCCCCTTCAAATTATTAGATACAAATATTTGTATCTTTCTTTTACCACATCTGATAATTGAACATTGTTGGGGAAGTCCTGTGTCAATAAAGCACTGCTGGCCAATAGGAATCTAGATAGGTGGGACTAGGAGTCCAGGAGGACTCTGGCAAGGAGAAACACAGATAGTCAAGATGTAACGCCATGGGGTAGGAAGCCTGGAACTATTCTCCAGTAAGAGAAATACTTAGATTAACAATTATTGGGTAATTACTTAAGTCAGAGCTAGCCAGTAAGAAACAAGCAAGGCCAACGGCTTCATAATTAATATAGCCTCCTGTGTGTTTATTTGGGACTGAAGCGGCTCTAGAACCAGGCTGGTGGGAAGGCTTCTCTCAAGGAAAATGCTTCTCTTTACAGAACATAATTCAGCACATAGAATATTCAGAATACAGACCAAAGAAATGAGATTATTTTTACTGTAGATAATCTGACCACATTAAATCAATTCAGTTATTAATTTAATTTTATAATGAAAATGAATTGGGTATTTTGGAACTTGTCTTCTTAAACTGACACATATCACTAAATTGTAAAGATGAATGTCCTAGCATTAAACTACCTTCTAAAATTGTGCTTCTTTATCCTTAGATTTGATGTGGGATAATGCTCTTGTTCACTGTAAATATTTGTTACTCATATTGGTTTAATGAAATACTGGTTTGCCAGTTGCCAGGCAGGAAGTATAGGCTGGTCTACCAGACTAGGAGAATTCTGGGAGGAGGAAAATCAGAGATGAGTCACCAGCCAGAAGCAGAGGAAGCTATATGAGAATGCCTTAGCGAGAAAAGGTACCAAGCCCATGGCTAAACTTAGATAAGAATTATGGGTTTCTTTAACTTGTTTGAGTTTATTAGTAATAACTCTGAGTAATAGGCCCAACAATTTATAATTAATGTAAGTCTCTGTTTATGTGGGACTGAATGGATGCAGGACTGGGTGGGACAGAAAACTTCCATCAAGTCCTCATAAGGGAAGCATCTTCATTCCATGGATGGTGGATAACACAGAGATTCACAACTGGTGAAAATGTAGAGAACCAAATGCGTGTTTACTGCTTTCCACACCTACTCCACAAACGTTCATGGGACATTGTAGAAGTGGGAGGGGAGATGTAAGATCCAGAGTTTGAGGACTAGACAGTGTCTTCTGGACATGAAAGGACTGTTATGCTCCTGAATTTTGGACAGCTGTGGTTGCCTATGTGGGGAGCACTAATTAGACTCAGTGGATCACAGAAATAAATAAATAAGCAAATAAATAACACATGGGAATTGGAAAGAGGATATGAGGAAGAAAGATGACAGAGGAGGAATCTATACTGCTTCCTGAGTTTTAGATCCTAAAGAGACTACTGTTATTTTCATCCCCTTAAAAATTTATATAATCTCACTAGGCATGGTGGTGTACACTGTTACTACTGCACTTGGGAGATGGGGGGGGGAGCAGATATATATGAGTTAAGGACCAGCCTGGTCTACAGAGTTCCAGGATAGTCAGGGACTCACAAAGAAACCTGTCTTGAAAAACAAAAACCAAACAATAAAAATTGGTGGCACACGCCTTTAATCCCAGCACTCGGGAGGCAGAGGTAGGCGGATCTCTGTGAGTTCGAGACCAGCCTGGACTACCAAGTGAGTTCCAGGACAGCCTCCAAAGCCACAGAGAAACCCTGTCTCGGGAAAAAAAAGAAAAAATTTTGTATAATCTTAGTATTGTTGTAATCAAGTCAAGAAAATATTTACAGACATTGTATTTTTTGGTTGTGAGCCTAGCCTTTAATGGCTGAGTCATCTCTCCAGCCAGACATTTGTATCTTTATAGACAAAATTCTACTGCTACCAATTTTTCTGTGGTTATATTAGTGCACAAAATTTACATACTAGACTAAATCTCCTGGTTTTGTTATAATGACAAAAATCAGCTAAGGAAAATGTACATTTTTAAATCTAGAGTATATAACAAGTTACATACCATGTGGACAATTCAAAGAATATTATTGAAGTAAATTCATTAGCACAAAAAATGTATCTAATGGGATGGCTCAGGGGATAAAGGTACTTGCTTCTACGTCCAGTGATTCGCAAGATGAAAGGACAAACCTGACTCTCTTAAGTTATTACTGAATTTCCACATGCATATTGTGGCATGCACATGTCCACACACACTCACAGAAACACAGGCAAGTACACATACACGTTAAATAAATTAATGTAATAAAATATAAATGCAATAAAAATATAAGGTGATAAAATGTTTTATAAAGGTGACACTACTTGGAGGATGGGGGTGGCATTATCAGTAAACAAAGTTTCTTTAGGTGTATACTTTATGGGGGAAGTCCTTCTGTGTATACGTTGTCTTATTGGTTGATAAATAAAGCACTGTTGGCCAATAGGGAAGCAAGGTAGGTAGGACTAGGAGTCGAGGAGGATTCTGGGAAATGTAGTCAAGAGTAGAGAGTTGCCACGTGATTCCTGAAAGAGAGGATGTGTGAGGCTGTGACCTTGGTAAGATAAGATCTTATAAAAATATATATTAGTAATTATGGGTTAATAATTAAGTCAGAACTAGCCGATAAGTGTGGGAACAAGAGACTTTGGCCCGAGGCCCACTTCCCCATCAGCCTGGGAGCAGGCAGCCGTAACTGGTGGAAAACATGTTTAACAAAAACAATCCGGTGTCCATAAAAACATATTTACCAGAACAATAAGTTCCTGATGTTTTCAGAAGGGCTCATCCATGGGAACACCCTGACCTTGACCTTTCCAATGACTAACAGCCTCTTCCTGACCCCCCATCCCCGCCTCTGGTGTCAGGGCATATAACCAGCCTGGGTAAGAATAAAAAGAAGCCTTCTTTCACCACCGACTGGTCTCTGTGTCATCAATCCCGACACCATCCACAGATTCTCGGTCACAGGAGGCACAGCAGGCGTGGCAGATAAGAAGCCATAGCAACAGCCTTAATTAATATAGTGTCTCCTGTGTTATTTGGGGGGCTGAGACAGTGGTGGGATCCAGGCAGCTGTTGGGAAAGAATATATGTTAGAGTCACTGTTTATCACTAGTAGAATTATGGACTTTTCAGATTACTCTGAATTTCTAAAAGAAATATGTATTGCTTTAAATACAAATGTGCAAATCTACAGCAACAGAGGTGACAATAGATGCAAGTATTTCAACATCTTTAAAATTACACAAGTCATGTTTTCATTGGAGGCACACCCTTGTTTATGCATCATAGGAAAAACTTCTAATAGCATGTTATTACTGGCACTCCCTGACTATACCTTTGATTGAAGTTAGTATAAGCAATGAGTGGCCAAATTAAGTGTTTAAATCACTCAAGCAATCCTTCAAATCTGAGAAATATAGCTAAGCATCCACATTTTCATAAGACTACTTTCAATTTTTTTTACCAATTACAGTACTAATTGAACAGATAATTACTAAATATTCCCAGAGATTCAAATCTGTACAAGAAAGAAACCAGGGAGAAAACTCTCAATAGAAACATGAGAAATTAATTTTTCTATTAAAGACTCAGTTTTTTTCTCCATATGGCAAAGCAAAAATCTGTATATTCAGCCAAGTACAGATTATTCAAGGTCACAAGAGATCTAAGAAACAAGGATAAATTAAATCTACCAATAATTGAGAAACCCGATTTTACATAATAGTTGTAACCACCTCTTGGACAGAGTCCATTGGTGAAGCGTTATGAGAAACATAATTGATTTGTGTGACCTCATCTGAATTCAGGTATCTTTTACAGGTGGTAAAGAACAGTGAAATGGTCAAGAGACTGTCAGACAAAGGAAGCAGTTGGAGAAAAAGCACAACAAGGATAATCCAGAAACTAGCTAATCACCTTCAAAATCATAGAGTTGACTACACTGACAATTATCCATTGGATACCTCTTCAACCTAATTCCACGAGGATGTGTTGTGAAACCATTCTATCCCATTAAGAGTGTAGTTAGGCATGGTGGAGTATAGCCTGAAACCTCAGCACTTGAAAAGCAAAGGCAGGAGAATTAAGGCCATCCTAGGCTGCATAGTGAGTTTGAGGCCAAACTGGGAGCATAAGATCCTGTCTCAAAGGAAAAAAGCTGAAATGAACAAACAAAAAGAGTTTTCATGTATGCATATTCTGCTTGGTTAACCTGAATTGTGCCACAGTCTCAGAAATTCTCTATACCATAGTGTTTTTCATTGGCAGTAATGATAGGTTGTTTATTGTTGGAGTGCAGACAATCAACTGCAGGCTTTTCAACTAAATATGGCCAACAAGCTGCTTATGAGTCAGGACTCTGGCAGACATTCCTGCTTCCAGACCAATGGGAATGTTACTGACTCACTCTTGTGTCTTTCTGGGAGAGAGTATAAGCATTACTGGCATCCAAATCATTTTTTTATTATTGTTCAAAATTCATGTTCTAGTAAACAGATTTTGAAAGCATTGTTATGGTGAACATTTTGTGGTTTATGCTAAGCATTTGGTTTTCAAGAATTGTTGAAAATAAATGTTTTTAGAGTGCAATTATTTTCAAGTATTACACAATAAACTCTAATATTTGAAACTAAAACAGTATCTATGTTTGATTAGTAATTAAGCTCTCAAATGGTTATGAAAGTAATTTTCTTTCATAAGGAAGTACTTCAGGACAAATTGCTTGATACATTTACTAATATTGAGAACTTTAACTATATCTACATATAATTGTTAGTGTAGCTTTCTATAGTGGTAGTGGGTAGTGAATGTTATTTCCATTTATGGCAGCAGTTTCAAACAAAGTACACTGGAAACTATCTGATATTTGTAAATAAAACTGTATCTTCACATGAATGTTAATTATGTTTGCTACAGAAATTGTGAGAGTAATCTCCAATTGTAGCATTAATTTTGAGTACATGAGATTCTTCATTATTTTAATATCAACTGCTACTTGTTCTATGGTAGTATGTCCCTGAGTACATATTGTCAACAAAAAGGAAAATGAAATACTTATGTATGTGTTTATATATATTATTCATACTACTTGAATAATCTAGACTATTCCCTAACTTTTGCTTAAAAATAAAGATATAAAGGCATTTACAGTTTAGTTACAGGTAATAGTCACCAAATTCTACTTAATTGAAAAAAACGGAAGCCTCCTAGTTTCTGTTTTAGTAGAACCTGAATAAAAGTATAGACCTATTTAATCTAGTTTTGTGAGATACAATGGCATGGTCTGATGTATTTTAAAATGTATTCATACTGAGCACATGCTGTGTATATGACCTGATAGTATTTTATATTTATTGACTCATATTTATAAAAACCCCTAAGAGACATAACTCTGTAATTTATTAAAAAGAAACAGATGATTTGTTCAGTTTTCCTACCACTCAAATGATTGAGCTCAGATTTAAAACCAAGTAGTTAACTTTCTGGAGTCAATCTTGTAGTTCTCTGTTCTATATAGCAACATTCTGGTTTCTGCTGCCAAAACTACATCGGACAAGTATGATTCTTTATAGGTAGTTCACAATCATCTTCCAAATTTCATTTGTGCTCCTTTGTCAAGGGTACCTTACATTCAAATGGGTCCAGCAAATTCTATTTAGTGCACTGACTTTGAGTTGCTTCACATATAATTATCAACTTTATTTCTCCCTCAATTAATCATTACTGGTTTATTATGTTTTTAGCCTTTGATGTTTGATGCCCCATTGACAAGGTCCTCTCTTAAGCACATAACACAAATACTAAGCAACAAATTATAATACACTGCATTTGCAAGACACTGCAATTTACACATTTTTATATGCTTCCTCTCATTTTATGCTTTCTTGTTACTTTTTAGTTATAAAGGCTCCTGAAATGTAGGGATAGTCCTACAGTGAGAGGCTAAGTTGTGGTAATACTCACTCTGCATTCAAACATGTCCACGTATATTCAATGCCAACAGAGTAGACTCATGAGGGTGTTATTTATGGGAGGACTTGCAAATTCTTTTCTGAGTGATAAAAACTGGATGAATGAGTATATGCATGACAATCACATAGAAAATGAAAATTGGTAACTAAGAAAAATACAATGAAACAAAATAAGCATATATTATTTTAGAAACATATTAAAGTAATGATATTTTAGCCATGAACTCTATGAACTAAAAGTAACAAAAGTCATTAAACACATGATGATGGTGATGATGATGATGATGATAAAAATCAAGGCATGCAATAACAGTTAGTGTAAAAAGAGGCCATGAATTTAAAGGAAAGTGGAAAGGGATATACAGGAGGGTTTGGGGGGAGAAAAGGGAGGGGAAGGAAAGAAGGGAGAAATGTTGTAATCATATTATAATCTACTAAACAAAATAAAAGACTCAAAAGAGACTGAGAAATGGACAGAAATGAAATAAGGAAAGCTACATATACCCTGACTAACATCTAAGCAGACCGCAATATGGAAATGCAAATAAAAGCATATTCTTTGTACTATACTATGTAATATCAAGAGGTTAGAAACCAAAATGTTCACATAGACATTTGTGCTAATCTTCATTATGGAAATTCATACAACAGAACATCACAAAGCCCTTTAAATTATGTGGAATCTCTCTATCTAATGGTATTATACAAGGATGACTTTGCTATGCCCTCAGATGAAATCTTGGCAATATGTTTAGGACAATTTTAATATTCAAAACCAAAGCTATCTATAGTGTATGTATGTACACATTATTTATGTAAATGTAAAGGGAAATGGTGAAAGTTATTACATAGGGAAATGATAACAATGTTGACTTTTTAAAGTTACCTTTTGTGTGTGTGGGGGGGGAGTAGGGTCTCATTTAGTGCAGGCTGGCCTTGAACTTGTTATGTAGATAAAGATGACCTTGTTCTTCTTGCATCTATCTAACATTACTGTCATGTGTTCTTGACTTTTTTTCTCTCTACAGCTTTTCGTTTTATCTGCTTCCATTTTATTTTTCTACATCTAGATAATGTAATACAAATTCTAACTGATATTAATACTAAAAACAGAGTTAGATATCAGGGTAAATGATGAAAGGTCAGAGAAGTAAAGGAGCCAGCCACTAGACAGACTTCTCTCCTCTACCGAATCTTCAGACCAAAGGGTCTGACCTCCTGTCTCTAGAAATCCTCAGACTGAATGAATGAGAGGTACTGTTTCCACTAGCCCTATATTCCTATCTCTACCTCCCTAGTGCTGGGATTAAAGGAGTGTGCCTCCCAAATAATGGGATCAAAGGCATGAGATCTCAAGTGCTGGGCTCAAAGGTGTGTGCCACCACTGCCTGGCCTCTATGGTTCGCTAGTGGTTAGCTCTACCCCCTGATCTTCAGGCAAGCTTTATTTGTTAGAGCACAAACAAAATATCACCACAAGAAAAAAAATGTTAAGAAAAAATAATCAACAACTTGGGAAGCAAAGTGTTTACATTACTTTTCTCACTGTTGTGGTCAACAAGAAGCAACTTAACATGATTTCCTTTGGCTTAGACTTGAAGGGAATACAGTCTATCGTGGTTGGAAGGTATGTTCCCAGGAACCTGGCGCAGCTGCTTGTTTTGCATTGCTATCAGGAGGGAAACAGAGAGAAAGAATGAGACATACACAGAGACAGAGAGACAGAGAGAGAGAAAGAGAGAGAGGTTGGTGCTCTTTGGTTTCTTCTTTTTGTTCAGTCTAGGACTCCAGCACATCAAATAGTGCTGCCTACATTAATAGTGGGTCTTTCCTCTTTAGTTGAACTTTCTGTGAAAAGCATCCTAGCACATCCAGATTTGTCAGAAGTGTGTTCCCACAGTGATTCTAAATCCAATGACCCTGACAATGAAGATTAATCATCACAAGCACTAACCATAGGTAAAATTAAGATGAATGTCTAAGAATTCATCTCAAGAAACTCCATTGGCCTTGGAATGTTTACAGAGATATTCACATACAATGTAGTCTAATTAGCATCATTAAAATGATTATAATAATCTTGAATGGATTTAGTTTAGGGATTGTTTTTAGGACAGGGTTCATGTGTATATAGTATGGCTATATCCAACATCTGAACTTCCCTTTATGGTTACGGAATTCACTCATGATGTGAGTTAAAGGGGAAGATCACCTCTAGTCCTAGAATATATATTTTTGACCTAATCTTATTCAAGTCTCCTACATGGAAGTTGGACTTTAAGAATGGCAGGGCCAGGTACACTTCTTTCTTTGGACAGTGTATTGAACTATAACACTAGGTTGTTAGCAGTGCCAATTGCTAAACAGACTGCCCCATGGCATAATGTACATCTAGGGCTCTCGTGCTGGCCCTTATCCTCTGGTAGCTCCTTGCAATCACACTGATCTTAGGTTTAAGATCTTTCTGTGAGGTTTGTGAAATTCCTACTGTTTTCCCCAGAAACTCACTATTTGTTCCTATTAACCACAATCAGCTTGTGCTGCTTGAAATTAAGAACCTTTACTATGTACCTACTCAATATATGTTTATAGTTACCATAATCTTGGTCCAAAAATGTGAGCAAAGAATACCAAATCAACCCATGAGCATAGATGAAGAACAATATACTAGTAGATTAAATTTGGCATTACATGGAAATTATCTATCATAATTACATAGGCTTATTTCAAGAATATAGAGATATTTTCTCTAAGGCAAACATTTATATGTAACATCAATAGATGAAATAACTTAGCATCTCCATAGATGCCTTAGGTCAAGTTTCATATCCATTTTCCCAATTCTAAAATTGTTAATGATTAAATACCTACTTACATGCCATATTCTCTACTAGACTGTAGTTTACACAGATAAGACACAGTCACTTACCTCACAGAGCCTATGAAAACAAAAACACTAATTTACTTATTAGATGCCAATAATAAGAAAGACAAGTGGTTTATAATCTTTGGTAGAGGTATACATTGGAAAGTTACAATGTGGTCAGAATATTCTTCAGAAAAGTCTGCTTTAAAAAACTATTTCTGATGCACTGTATAGCGAAAACTATATTTGAAAATGATATTTTTATTCTTTGAGAATTTCATACAGTGTGTTCACCCTTGATAATTCCTCCACTATCATTTTATCCATTCCCCCATCAACTACAGTTTCTGTTGCCTAACTATTGTTGGAAATGGCATCTGCCTTGAATCTGGTTGACCTATCTGGGGGTCACATCATTTAAGAAAGGCTTCTTGAGTGGACGATTTTTACTATGTCCTGAGAGGTTTGTCTCAGAAAAGAGCAAGACTATCTCATTCCTTGGCCCTAAATAGGAAGAGAGGAAAATAGATGAAGATGAAAGTGCATTATATGTGATGTGGAAAGACAGAATAGCAGATTGAAGTGTCTAAAAAATTGCCTTTTTGATGTGATTCCCTTTCCATAGCTACCATCATCATCTAAGCCACTATCATCTCAGACAGACATTCCTGAAGTAGTAGCTGCCTCACTCTTCTTACTGTTTGTCATTTTTTCATTCTCTAATTCATTCTCAGAATTGTCTAAAAAGTAAAATTTCAGAACATAAATGAAATCATGCTGCTCCACACCTGAAAACCTTCATTGGTCCTCTGTTACTCTTGGAATAAAATAAGGTATTAGAAGGCAGCTCTGCTCACCACTATACTACCAATGCAACATATAAGCTCTTGGATAACTAGGCATCTGCCTTCCTCTTCATCCTCACTCATGTAATTTTGCTTATTCCCCACTACCCTAACAGGCTCTTAATTTTGTTCATGGACATGTAAAACTCTTTGTTCCTTTGGGTTACTATAAATCAATAATCAAAAGATTAACAACTAGAACAACTGTGAAAAGGGTACAAACTGATAAGCCACGGGAGAAGGAATAAAACTGTTCCTGTTGATATGGTAATGTATCCTATGTATTAGTTACAAATGTAGAGTATAAAACAGATATGTTAACCTACTAGTTTCATAAATATTGATTAAGAAATGTAATACCCAGAACTGAAGTTATCATGTTCTAGTTATCAATGTGTGCAAACTAGTAAACATTTCTGGAACATAATTTAATATTAGCCTTTAAATTTAATTATTATGTACCCTTTGAGCCAGAATAAGTAGACTCAAAGTATTTTTATCACGTTGTTTGCAATAATAAGAGATTGGTTACCTATACAGTGGTAATATATACAATGTGATGATGTGATGATGCCATGAACCATTTTTGCAAGTAGTGGATTGTAAGAATGTGACCTTGAACGTCATCTTTTTGACTTTTAAACATTTTGATCACATCTTTCAGAGTAATGTTTATGCTTTGGAGGCAAACTGCCATAGTTATGGCAAAAATTGAAAGTAACATGCGTCGAGGTCAGTTTTCTTCTTCCATAATGTAAGTTCTGGGCATAGAGCTCAGGTTGTCAGCCTAGTCAACTACCTACTGAGTTTTTTTATTGGCCAAAGTCCTGAGGTTTTTAAACACTATAAGTTATAGCACTCCACGCTTAACATTTTTAACAGTTTTTATCTGGAAAAATAATTATTATACATGTTAAAATAATAAAACAATGTGGCCTATAAGTTTAGAGAAAACAGATGGTGAAATGAAAGATGATAGAATTTGCAAGCAAGGACATTCCATACGCTTATAGACCTACACAAACCAAACATGAACATAGTGAAAAAGAAATGGCAGATGTAAAAGCATTCCAAATGGAAATAATAGTGTTGAAATTGTATCTGTGATGAAAGTTTTTTTATGAGATTGACAACGTTAGACGTGGCAAAAGAAAGCAATAGTGGACTTAAACACATAGCAATGACTGTTGAATACAATATCAGAGTGAAAAACCTCAAATGACCATATCAAGCATTCTAACATATTTTCAGTAGGAGTCTTAGAAGACTAAAAGTAGAGGAAAAATGTTTGAAGAAATAGTTACCATGTGTCTTCTAACTTTGATGAAACTACAAAAGCAGATATATATCCAAGAAACAACTGAAAACAGGATAAATAAGTTGTCTTTTGTTTCTTTTAGTGTTTGTCAAATGCTGGCATGACAATGAGCTTTTTAAAAATAATTATGTGTGTGGATGTTTTGCAGGTATATATGTCTGTATCATGTGCATTCAGTACATGTAGATGCCAGAAGAGGGCTTAGGACAGTAGAATACCCTGGGAATGGAATTTCACGTGATTGTGAGCTTCCATGTAGCTGCTAGGAACTGAATCCAAGTCCTCTATAAGAACAATAAATAAATTAGCCACGGAGCCATCTCTCCAAATTGCCAACTAGCTTTTATTATGATTCCTTACTTTAATTTTAAAAGTTCTCCTGCCTTAATTTGCCTTTCTTATTTCCTAAGACTGATAGTTGTCTAGACAAAAGGAATGTTAATGTCCCTGTTGGAAAAGAAAGAGATGGAAATCAGCAAAATCTCAATTTGCAGATCTTGAAACTGTTCTCAGGTAGGAGAACTTGTCCATGTCAACATATGTTCTTGAACTTTGTACTTGACATTGGACAGTTGGAAGATAGGGATGATTTCATGTTGTTTGGTGTCCTTTAAATGATTCCTGGTAATACTACTACTTTAATTGTATTGAGCTTTTCTGAATCATGGCAATTACATTTATTCTCTAAGTGTTGTGTTTTGTATCATGTACATAACACAATCACTAAATGTATGTCAATTAATAGATTAGATAATGATCTTTAAATTCTAGCATGTATGCGAATCATCTGGAATGTTGATAAATTACAGATTGCTGAACCCTATCCCCAGAGTTTACGATTAATTATACCAGAGGTGAAGCCTGATGACTTCCATACTTACCAAGTTCTTACCTGTTTCATATAAATCTTTCTTCCCCCAGAAGGTTAGTAGCTCTTCTTCCTATCATGTGTTTCATATCATTTCTATATATCTTCATGGGGATCAAAAAAAGGAAATTATAATTTGCTTGGAAAAATATAGTCCTACTTTTAGCTAGGTCTTGGATTTGGATGGGAGTAGAGTAAATAACTCATACCATTTATAATTTATAAGTTGTTTATTTACTGTGCTCATATTAATTACTGGATTGTTTTGCATGGCAGAAGCCAATTTTGAAGACATGCCTTACAAAGGTGTGATTATAGACTTAGTAAAATAGAAATAGTGCATAGCAGAACTAGTTTTTCAAACCCCACACAAATTAATAAGTTGATATTTTTCTGAATGTATACCACAATATGTATTCCTACATAGTAGAAATAAATTTCTCATCAAAATAACCACGTAATGGATGTGGATTTTAACATAAAGTTAAAAATGTTTCAGGTCCTGTATCAGGTCAATGAAGTGCTGGAATTTGTGTCCTTGAATTTAGAAGAATTACTTAAACATTCTTCCCTTTACTCCGAATTGTTACTGAAACATTCTAAGTGCTGCAAGAGGTCATTTTCCCTACCAATTCTGTCTTCTGAAGTAACAACTCTCTAGCAATTCTCACAGGGGAGAGTTTTTGGTGTGAGAAGCAAAGAAGTAGAAGTCTGACGTTGGGCTGTGTTTCACATGAAAACTGTGGTAAGATAAGCCCATGGGAAGCTAGGACCCTCTGCTTACTGCACAGCTGAGGTTCATATCCAGGCCACAGAAAGCAATTTAAACATGTTCTACTTTTTTTCAGGGCACGGTTTCTTTTTGTTGACTGCCCCAATGTTTGGTAGCCCCATTCTAAACTTCGCCCTCAAGGTACCAAGGGCAAAGCCCTCCTCAGGTGTCTCCTCAGTCCAGACTCCACTCCTAAAAAGACTGTCATTGGCGACTACACCCACAGAGGTCACTAAAAGCGTCCAGCTCTGGATTCACCTCTTAGTTCCTGGTTTTCTGTTCCCATGGGACCACCCAGGAATGCTTTGCTCAGAGTAAACCTGGATTTATTATTCAGTCTGATTGGCTTATTGTATCAGCGGTGGTATTTTTCTAGTATCCCTTTCATAACTGGGATTTTTAAACATAACACCTCTATCACTATTAAAACGTAAGACCTAAGAGTGAAAGAAGAGAGCGGGGTATGCCAAGAAAAGAAAGTAGTAGTTCCCTCAGAGGCGAAAAAGAGAGCCTATTCTTACTTCTAATCTAGGCCCAAGCCTAAGATTTGAAGTTGAGTAAGTAGAGTTATCTGTGTTCATAGCCAGTTTAGCCAAGTGTTTTGTTGCTTTTTTGAGACAGGGCCTCACATGTCTATGGCTGGCTTAGAAACTGTTTTGTAGCTGAAGATGGTCTTAAACTCCTAATCTCGCTGCCTGTACCTCCTAAGTGGTAAGATTATAAGCGTGCATCACTTATGTCCTGCTTAGCTCAGCCCTATTCCACCTAAGATATATATATACATGTGACACATGAGGCCGTGGTTATAGCTAGAACACAGTGCGAACAAGCCAGGGCTCTCTTTTTGGCTATTCACACTCACTGGCAGCATCTTAAAGAAACAGACAGAATTAGGGAATCTGAAAATTCAACAATATGGGAATCTTATATGTCCTATAATGCGTTCAGTTATGTGGGAATGAAGTCTATCTCATGCTATACCTACTTGGTTATAGATATCTTAATCGATAAATTTTGACATCTAAATGAAATTGAATCTTTTTTAATTGAACGATTGTTTAACAGTTATTTATTTCTGTTACGAAATAAGCTTTGCATTAGATGTAATAAATATGATGATGATGATTTGCCCAGATTATTTTTTTCTAGTGCAGGTTTCTTATTGTCCTTTGGAGGACAAATCTCTTCTTATTTTTGGAAATTTATTTTCTACATAGTTCTTTTAAAAAAAAACCTTATCTAACCTAGGAACACTCAGCCCTATATGTTATGTGTTCATCAGATCCTTCCCTTCAGGGCTCAGAGAACCCATGGAAGAGAGGCAGAAAGAGTGTAAGAACCAGAAGGGGATGATGACACCGAGGAAATTAGGCCTTCTAGATACAACAGGAGCAATGCACATATGAACTCACAAAGAGCAGCATACATAGGACCTGTACAGGTTTGTACCAGTTGGGGCCCTAGAGCTGAAAGAAATGATCACATACCCCATCCCTATGCCAGAAGCAATCTCTTACCAATAACCACTTTTGTACCAGTTGGGGCCCTAGAGCTGAAAGAAATGATCACATACCCCATCCCTATGCCAGAAGCAATCTCTTACCAATAACCACTTGCAAATAAAAATTCGGTTTTCTCCAAAGAAGCCTCACTGGGGAAACAAATCACATTTACTTAAGGATAGGCCCCATGACCAGTAGTAGCTGGCCAACTGAAAACAAACTCAATAGCATCTTTGGAAGTTCCTTGTCACATAATGGCATGTCAGGGCTTTCTTTTCTTTTTATCTTTAAATTTTTTATTTTAATTTTTCCTCTTGTTTTTTACCCTATAGGTTCTTCGCATATATATTATGGCTTCAAGTTTTGAATTTTACAGGATTCTTGAGTGTGTAACTGAGTGGGTCTTGGTGTCTATATCTGTTTCTTGTACTTTTTCTTGGGACCTTTTCCTTCTGTTTATTTGCTTTGTTGTATTCCAATGTGTTAGTTTTTGTTTTATCTTATTTTATTATATTATTACCCATTAGAAGACTATTTGCTTTCTAATGAGAAGCAAAAATGGGTCTACAACGTGGCACCTTGAATGTGCCAGATCTCATATGATCTTGGAAGCTAAGATGGGCCAGGTCTAGTTAGTGCTTGGATGGGAGAAACAGAAATGGGATGAATATGGATGGAAGGGGAAGTGGCAAGGACCTAGTAGAGGGAGAGAAAACTACAATCAATACATGTTATATGAAAAAAATCTATTTTCAATAAAAGAATAAAATTCCTCTACTTTGCTTTCAGTTCTCTATCCATCAAGCATTTTGATATTATAAAGAGTCAATCTATTATTATTGCCAGGTTATCAATAAAACCACTTTCATGAGTAAGTCTAAATGCTGCTGTATTATTGTAAAAGAGCATAGTTGGAGTAAATTATAATTGCATTTCTTTTATGCTGAAATGAAAGGTCATTTCCTCAGGTCTTTACTCACACCGAACTATAAACGTGTATTCTAATAAGCTACAGTCAACATTTTAAACACACCATCTTTATTGGTTTCTTTCTATACTCCATTTCATTTACTGATCTGCATTTCTGTTTATGCCAGCATCCTCTAATGCCATGACTTGCTCAGCAAAATGCTGCCACTTCTGGCGACTGACCAAGCTTGCACAATGTGCTTTCACATAAAAGCTTCCTCATAGTAGACTACAATCTGAACTATTTTGGAAGGGATTTTATAATGCTGCTTTGTAATTAAATGAGAGAAAATTAAGGATCCGATTTCAAATTAACTTGTATAAAGTCATTATCTATCATTCTGACCAGAAAAGCAGTAGGCTCTGTATGCCGATTGAATAATATGCAGCAAGTGGGACAGTCATGTCACTTATTTTAAGTCTTAATATTATTTTCATATTTGAACACAGTCTAATTATATTTAATAAAATGTCGGAATATATAAAAAGCACAAATCATGTATGGAGATGCATTACTTAAACTAGGATAGTATCTACAATTTCTGTGCAATTTACTAAATAAAAATGCTACTGTTATTTCACTTAAAAGCATTTGAAAATCATCATCATTTGTCTTTTAGGGAAATATATTTTTGAAGGTTTAAAAATGTTTAGAGATGAATTTGGAGTTTTATAACCATGAAAATTTAAGCCTGCTTATGTTTTGTAATTCTTTCTAATAAAAATACTGAGTATTTTATTTTATTTTTATTATTATTATTATTTTGGTTTCTCAAGTTAGAGTTTCTCTGTGGTTTTGGAGTCTGCCTGGAATTTGTTCTGTAGACCAGACTGTTCTCAAACTCACAGAGATCTGCCTGCCTCTGCCTCCTATGTGATGGGATTAAAGGCATGTGCCACCAATGCCCAGCTTGAGAAGTATTTTAATTAATCTCTTCTGAGTATAAATATAAAAAAGAAAAACTTTCACATTATAAACAAATCACTGTGATATGAAGAGAGACTCAAAGCACATACTCCCTTATAAGGTTCATGAAACAATATAGTGCTATTATTAGTATAGTGTTTACTAAGCATAAGTTATCAGTATTTGAGCGACAGAGTCATGAAATATGTGAAATGTTGATTTTGAAAATCTATGAATATGTATAACTAATATTATAGAGTTCTTATTTTTCACTGTCAATATAAGTGGGTCTTGCATCAATGCTAGGTCATAAATCTGAAGTGTTTTTATTTCCATTTGTTATTTTGTGTGTTCCCGTGAATATACAGAGACAGAAAAGCTTCTTGATTGCCTAAAGATCTGATCTATCATCAGCCATTGCTGTCAGAAGCAAGAGATTGTGAAGTGATTGCTGGTTATTCTTACCTCCCATGAATTTACTTTTGGCCACCAGACTGTGATCCCAGTAGAATGAATCTGAAGCAACTATTTCAAAGTCTAACAGGAGTAAAATCAATAATAAAACTGACTCCATCATTTTACCAGCTTGCCTTTCTGATCATGTTGTTGCTTCATTAAAAAAAATTTATGCATTTTTATTTTATGTGTATGGGTGTTTGTCTGTGAGTATGTATTGTACACCCTAGGCATGCAGTGCCTGTGGAGGCCAGAAGAGGTCTCTGGGTCCTCCTGGAGCTGGAGCTAAAGAGAGTTGTGAACTATCATGTGGATGTTGGGAATCGAAAGTTGGTCCTCTTTAATAAAAAAACAGTCAGTGCTTTTAACAGCTGAGCCATTTCTCCAGCCCCTGTTGCTCTGTTCTACTGAGATGAATACTCTAGGAACCAGTGTGGTCCTGCTGAGAAACATTCACTTCTGTTTTGGAAGAAATTCTAGTGATATTATTTTAAAAATATATAAGGTTAGACTATTAAAATTTAAACATATTATTTTGTTCTGAAAAGACAACTTGTTTGTCAGCTTATAACACAAAGTTATCTGGAATGCATTTCTTAAATATGCAAATTCAGAACCCAGGTGAATCTAGTTTCTTAAAAACCAAACAAAAACAGTTAATTTGTGCTTGGGGTATAGTTAAGTGGTAGAGTACTCAACTAATGTGAACAAGGCTCTAGGTTTAATATTCTGTGTAAAAAAACAAACAGAAGTACCCTTTTTGTTAGAAAATCAGAAGAAATACAATTAAGAACCCACCAAAGTCATCATTTTAATTACATAATCATAGTCTTAACTATGCTTCCACCTGTTAGCTGCTTTTTAAAGTTTTTGCTAAGCCCCTGTTTCCATATTATACAATATGACTAAATCATTTGGTAAATTTTCTGTCTCTATGGATTTTATTTGTTCCCTCAAAAGAGATGTGACAGTCTTGGGGAAAATCCTCCTAATTTCTCCATTTTCCTTCAGTCAAGTCACTGTGTTTAATTATGTTTATAAGTTGAGTAAAACAAGGAACACGTTTTGTATGCCCTCACTTAAGCATATCACTGACTTTTAAAATCCAACTTTCATTTACACAAACAACAAGAAAAACATATTGAGTTTCATACAATTCCAGGGAAAATGCTGGTTTTCTGTGGTATTTAAAAATGGTTATGTTATTTAGAAATTCACATCATTTCGGTTGTTATATAAATACTGTTATGACCCCACAACCAATTTAAAGTTATGTGAAAAAGTCTATTATGGTGAATCCACCCTGTATTTCTTGGTTTGATAAATTTCCCTAAATCGTGTTTTCCTTTTTCTTTTCTTTGTTTTCCATACATTCAGAAAACAGGCATCTATTTGGTTTTCTGTTACATTAAATCTAAACTTGTCTTCCATGTTTCTGTGGTCCAAAATCATACTTCATTTTCTCTCTCCAGCATTGTGTACAACTTCTTTTTAAATATGGTTTCTGTGCCAGATGACAAGTAAAGTTTTGAAGGTAAAATAAGGCAAAAGCTTTGAAGTCTGGAAAAAAAGTATCTTGGAAGAAGAATCTGAAAAAAATTAAATGAATAGTTTCCACTCTTAGACACAAAGCAACCCTTTGGTTTTCCATCGCTGAATTAAGCAAGAAATATGAATACTTTGGCCATTCATATCATTTTAGCACATGGTTGGCCTTAATTTTTAAGTGTGTGTGTGAGAGAGAGAGAGAGAGAGAGAGAGAGACAGAGAGACAGAGAGAGAGAGAGACAGAGAGAGAGAGAGAGGGCCCATGTGTGGAGGTTAGAGGAGAACTTGTGGAAGCTGATTCTGTCTTTTTAACATGTGGATCCTGAGAATTAAGCTTAGGTTGTCAGACTTGATGGTAAGAGTTTTTACCTGCTAAGTTGTCTTATCCATCCTACATTGTTTATTTTAAAAATTCAATTTCATCTATCCATTAGACTTATGGATTTTCTCCATTTCTTCCCACTTTTTGCTGACATACATGACATTTTCTCTCATTAGAACTATGCCTTCACTACTCATCTTGATTTTATGACAAAAGAAATGTAAGGGAGAAAAGACTATTCTGGCTCACAATTTGAGAATGTGTAGTCTTTCTTGACATGAAAGATTGGATCATGATGCAGCTATGAACAAGATAGTCACATTGCATTGGTAGTTAGAAAGCATCCAAAGATGAATGCTAGTACTCGGCCTTCTTACTTCTTTTTACAGTTTGAGGAGCAAAGCCCGTGGAATGGTGTGTCTTTCATTTAGGGTGGGTCTACCTAACTCAGTGAGTCTAACCTAGAAAATCCCTCACATGCTTATCCAGATGCTTGTCATTTTGGAATTTCTGGATCCTGTTAAGTAGACAATCAATATAGATCATAACAGCCTTTGTCTCCATTCCAGAATTTCTATTATTTTTGATTGGTATGACTTCCAATAATCTCCCACCACTCCAACACCACAAAATATGTTGATTTGCTGGTGGCTTGAATTTCATGCATGATACATACTGCTCATTAAAATTAGTTCCTTATTTTGCTTATACTAATCTTCATCCTGGGAAGACACTTACAACTCCAATTTACTCAATCCCTATATAGCCCCAGAAGCTTATTTTATTTCTGCTACTAGAATTAACTCTTGTGTATCTGTTGCTGCCCACTGAGTTACTCCTATCTCCCAGGCTGAATTTCTTTACACATGTAGCAGTGGTTCTCAACCTTCCTAATGATGTGTCCCTTTAATGGAGCTCCCCATGATGTGGTGACTCCCCCAACCATAAAATTATTTTCATTGTTACTTCAAAACTGTAATTTTTCTATTTATGAATCATAATTTAATTGCCTTTGTTTTCTGGTGGTCTTAGGTGACCCCTGCTGTTTGACTCTAAAAAGGTTGCAACTCAATGGTTGACAACCGCTGACATATAGTGTGTGTCTCAATCATTCATTTTTTTCTTTTCAGCAAGTGTTTTTAATTTTTCTATATTACTGACACTATCTTACAAGCAATGTAAATTTGTGCCTTAGAAACTAGTTGAGTAAAACTAGATAAATGATGCAACAATGCAATAGGTGTTATTTTGGTGGGAAAATGATGAATGATGAGTGAGGACTGAAGAGAAGATAAAAGAATGATGACACACATGAAAAAACAAATAGGTAAAGGGACCAAAGGAGCTGGAAGATCACAGGTAGAAGTAATAGGACAGGGGAACTACAAAGAAAACAGACTAGTGGCCAGGGAGTAGGGCATCTCAACTGAAAAATTCAAAAGTGGAGCAATTATAGATGGTGGGTGATAAACATTAAGATGTGACCATGCATGTAAACTACTAAAAGTCAACCTTAAATTATCCTTCACTTCCTATGTGCTAATTTCCATTTGTAAGAAATATTACTGAGGGGGGAAGTAAACAGAATTCTAGCATACTCCCAACAAACTTTATCCTTCCTTAATTCCTTCACTTTGAGTGTGGGTTAAATCTATGAATATGGGGCCACCTGGCAATGATTATATAACATTTCATGGCAAACAGATTTTGTAGTAACTGATTAATTGAATGACTCACTAAGGGAAGGTTAGGTTCTTACCCCCCCCAAGGAAATTTGATGCACGACAGAGATTCAAAAAAAGAAGAAGTCTCCATTGTTGGATTTAATGAGGGAGATGTTCATATATCAGGAAATACTCATTCATCATGCACAAGGGAATTGGGACATCGGTTTCCTAGTCACAAGGAGCTGAATCATTTCACAAGTATATGAGCCTGGAAGTAGAGTAGATTCTGAACAAAAGATAAGAGCCCAGTTGGCCAGACACATTCATTTTAACCTGGGGAATTCCTATGCAGCAATAACAGTCAATGTTGTAGCCAGACTTATAACATACAGAACTGGGAGCTAATGGGTGTTATTTTAAGCCCATAAATGTGCAGTAATGTGTTAGTGCTTTAGTTTGAATACAGGATGCCTATAAAGGCCCATGTGTTGCATATTTTGTTTTTAATTTGTGGTGTTATTAGGAATTCATGGGGTATTTAAGAGATGGGGCCAAATAAAAGAAAGTTAAGCCATGTAGGTGTGTGCAACTGAAGGGAATATTGGGAGCTTGGGACTTTTTTGTTTCTCAACCACCGTGAAGCAAACAGACTTCCTCTTCCATGGGATATTGGTATGATGCACTGTGCTGTTAGAGACCCAAAAGTTTAGGGCATTGGAATCATGGATTTAAACCTTTAAAATAGTGAGTCCAAATAAACTTATCTTCTCTGAAGTTGATTACTCTGGATATTTTTGTCATAGTGATGAATTACTGAATAATATATTTAGAAAACTAATGTAGGGTGTAAGTTGAATATGCTAAAATGTGCTCATTTAAAATGTATAGTCTGGTGAGTTGTGAAACATGAATGTTAAGATATAGAATACTCAAGGTCACACCCAAAATTAATTTGTTCTCTTTTTACTATGACTATCTATCAAGCTTTCATCCTACAGGAACACACGACCAGCAAGGGCATAACAATTTGTGGGTCCAGGGGAGAAAACATATCCCCATGATCCAGCATTCAGAAGGCAGATACAGGAAGATCATGAGTTCAAGGCCAGACTGGGATACAGAGAAAAAGGACAAAAGTAGAAGAGAGAGGAGGAAGGGATAGGAGCCATTAAATCATAAAATGGAGAGTTTCTCAGTGATTATAAGCATTGCCTTGGACTGTTGTACATCTTTTAATTTGACTAATCAGTGCATTTTCTTGGTATTATTCCAAACTGATCATTGACAGATAACAGCACTAGAAGCAGATATGTAGGATGAACTTAGGGGAATGCTCTTTTAAAGAGTTTTCTTTGTTCATTCCCATATCACTCTTTCTTACTTTATGAGGAAAGATATAATAGTTGGGGTCTGGTGACATGATTTAAGTGTCAGGATGAAGGTCACATACTCTAGGGGTGACGAATGAAGACAATAAGAGAGACTGGTTCTCTGATAACATGGAGTCTTCCATAGCAGTCTCCATGGAACAAATAGATTCTGATTACATGAAAGAAAGGAAAATCAAACCAAAGCAAAACTAAACCAACAAATTTCATAGAAGATATTTGTTTTCAGCACTAAATGTAGATCATTATTTTCAGTTTGTATTTTCCTAATGTAACACATACCTGGTTATAAGGATCTTATGTATTATCATCTGACTCTTCCTGATGCTACTTGTCAATCTTTCCACACTGATTTTTCTGGGTTGCTGTTTGGATCTCTGTTATTTCTTCATGAGTCGATCTTGTCTCCTTATCCTGGATTATCTCCAGGTTAGTTTGCCCTACTGTCAACAGAAACCAATTTCAGAGTAATTATATGACAATTAACAGATAGAAGACTTTAAAACAATGTAATGCTTTAAAACAAATGTAAAGTCACAACTTGGTTCCCTCAGCATGTTTTCTGGGTCTGCTTTTCTTAATATCAACTTTAGGCTGTCCTTTCCAGCTCCATTTTTAGGTGAAAGTAAAAAAGTACTAGTACATAGATTATATGATGGACAACACCCTGTGAAATCCATCATTCAAGGAATTCAGGATATTGGATAGTGTGACCTATGATTTATAGGTGGTAAGACACCACTTATCATCTCTAGGAAGATATGTTATACCTATTGACTGTTCTCATGCTGTGCAGTATATTGTTTTTGAGGTAGGGTAAATCTCTTATCTTGTTAGAGTTGTTTATTTCCTTTGTACATCCATGAGAGCAGGAAAGCAATAAGGGATGCTCACAAGGTACCTTATGGGCTACTAATTTTTGTTCTCAATCTGGGAGACTGAGAGTGGAAATGCGGATTTGTACACAGCATGGTCTGTTTGTTTGAAGACTATTCCTTGAGAAAAGTAGAGACAAAAGAAGAACTGCAAACAGCGGAAAAGTTACGTCTCCTCATGGCTATACAGCTTCTGAGTTGTTTGTTATTACCATGAGAAAATTAACTGAAGATGGGTAGCTTTGTACATGAATTAAATCAAGTAAGAAAATATAGTGACATTTACTGAAAAGTCTGATCAACAATATTGAATATGCTTTTTTGAAGCTAGCCACATTTCCTTCAGTTTAGTACATTTTTGTGCATGGAAGACCTTGTAAGTTTAGTATAACTTTGCAAGTACTAGTTCTTACATGAGTTGATTAAAATGATTTGGTTTTCACAATAGAGTATATTAAAAATCCAATTCATAATCAAATATTCTCACTTGACTAATCTTTGTATTTTGTTGTCAGTCAGTCTTTGATGCTTATATAACTTAATTCTCCACCCAAAGCCTTAAGTCAAAGTTTTCAAAATCTGATAGAAAAGCTAGTTTATTTGAAGACCACTAGTAATCATTTATACTTCTAAGAGAATTCATTGTCCTGGACTGTAGGCTTTACCGGACGCTGTAACGATACGCGACACACAATTACTGACAGTAAAGCTAAGTATTTAATGTAGAAAATTACTCACAAGATACCAAACCCAGAGGAGCAGTTTTCAGCTAGCTGCCGGACCGGAAGCCGAACTCCAGGAAAAGAGACCGAGACTTCCTGTGTGCTGTCTTTTATGCCTTCCCCCGTAACGCCCCTAGCCATGCCCAAAAGTGGGCCTGGTTAGTGACGTAGTTCCGCCTACGTACGTATACGTCTTTACGTCCAGCCGTATACGTCTTTAGTCCTGCCTAAAGTGGGTGTGGTTAGCGGTGTGGTAAACCGCCCTTTTATTACCTCATCTGTATGCGCCTCTAATAAGTCACATGTTTAATGGCGGCATCAGACTTCCTCCTACACTGGACAAATGAACAGTAGAAACCTTTTGTCTTCCTTTGAGATATTTTAATCATTAGCTTCATTCTTTTAACGAAATTATTTTATTCTTAAAAACTGCCAGCACAAAGTCAAACTTATTAATTAGTCTATTATATAGTCTTTACACTTTCCATGGACCATTGCTTTGAGATTTGGTGGTAAATACATTCTAAGTATGTTGAGATGCTCTGATTTCCCTGTATCTTTTTTTGCTCATGTTGATCAATAAGGAGGGAGTTTTAGTGAGTAGAAAGAGAAAGAGGAATGATAGTCATTTGATTTGACATCCTATTCTGGTTTCTAGCATCAGAGTTCGTTTCATATTGATTATTACCAAGATCTTCCTTGAGGAAAGTAGAGATTAAAGAAGAACTGCAAACAGCGGGAAACTAGGTCACTCACTTGTGAATGGTAAATAAAAACAAAGACATAGTTCAGCTACTGCCTAGGGACTCTAAGTAGGAAGTTAGCTAGGAATGATGTGAAGATGACGAAATGAAGTGAAAGGGAACTCTCCTCTAAAGGAATCCAGCTACACCCATGGTGTCAAGGATCTGTAAAGGGTGGTAGGCACACAAGGAATTTAGAACAAAACACAGAAAGTAATTATTTTATTTTAAATTTCTGCCTATATTAAATCTGATAAGGCAGGTTGAGTGAATTCCACTTTGTTTAAAGGGTTGTTAGTAAGAATGTTTTAGCTTGGTATGGTGACACACATTTGAGAGGTAGATGCGGGAGGATTGCTACAAGTTTGAGGTTAGTCTGGTCTAACTAATGAGTTTCAGACTAGTCAGAATTACATAACCAGGTCCTATCCCAAGAAATGAACAGAGAAGGAGATTAGATTCATGTAGTTTGTAAATTAAATTGGGAGATATGTAATAAATCTAAACCACTCAATTAAAAATTATTTTTAAACATGGAAAACATGTCTGAGTCCAAATAGAAGAAATAAACACATTGTAAATGAGAGTAAAATTCTGTTTTTAGGAGATAATCAGCTATCATATTAGCTAACAACAAAGACAGAGTGAAAGCATTTAATTTAGGTTGTCAGATTAAGATAAAGTAACAGAATGGATTTCTTCATGAATTAAAGAATAAAAATCTGATCTTCAGTTTTAAATATTGTACCTCAAAATTAAATTCTGCCCATAAAGTAATCAATATATGACTCATCTTCATCAAAGAACTATATTTATAAATGTTCTATAGTATTAAACAATTTTTATTCAATATAAATGTCATAAAATGAAACACTTGGAATGTGAGCTAAGTTCATTTACATTCCAAGGGCGACATTGCCAATGTTAAAATTGCAGGATCAAGTTAAAATTTTGTTACTAGTATTAAAATTAGTCATAGCCCGTTTAATTATTTAAAAGAATTATTATATTATCAAGGGTAATTACATAGGTAGGAAAATCAATTATATAAGACCCATGTAAAGTTTTAAAATACAAAGAGCAGTTGGTATATAGCCAGTACAAATGAACCTGGTACTTAGCCAAGAAAAAAGTACCAAGGTAGTTCTGCCAAGATTTATGTAAAATAAGATTGCTTAGTTTTTAATGGTGCTGTGATAATGTTCATATAGCACAGAGACTTAAGCATTTTTGAGTAAAGGACAAAAATATTCAAAAGTACATATTTTATATGGGTGTCACTAATCAGGCTGAAAAGTAGATTTTCAAAAGTGGGTTTTGAGGGATCCTTTAGATTAGGAGACCCTATTCCCACATCCTACATCAAGCACAGATTTTCTTGTGTATTATTATACTTCCCATGTGAGTGAAAATATTGTAAGAAAGATATAATTATTGCATGTATGAGGGTTATAGTATCCTAATTGGATGAGAACTGGAATATAATTCCTTATGTTAATCTTTGTTTACTGAAATGGAGCCAGATATCTTGTGTGTGACTTCTCCAAGGCTATGAGACAGAGCAGGTACCAAGGTGGACATTTTTCTCATTCTTAGTCTAAAACCCATTTTTCAGTAACATACTAAGTTTATGTTTCAAAGGTATGACTTTACAAAACAGTGAAGATATTTATATGTTAAATTAAAAATAAAGATGAAGATGCTCATAATATTGATAAAACATGGTTACAAAAATCAAACCTTCATAAAATTATTGGGTCAATTTACCTTTAATTCCACAAACCAAGAAAAGTGAACTTATACTGGGCAGGAGGACCTCATGGAAAGCAGAACATTGTTTCAATGAAAATCTTTCAATTCCTGTCAATGAAATTCTTTGCCAGTTTTAAAAATCTAATTACCTCACCCATTTTGAAGATCAATATTTGACTCAATTCATCTTTATCCAAATCCATGGTGAAGAAGCCTGAATCAATTGGAATAACTGCTCTATGACACATTTTGGTTGAACACACAGATTCACCAATATGACTTTAATCTCGTCCCATGTCCAGGATCCCTTAACATTCCTCTGAAATGTGTATAGCTCTCAAATGCAGTACTTGTTTTCATACTAAAAAATAGCTCCCTCTATTTCCTGAGAATCACATTTCCATTTCTTAGAATGGAAACATTTCATTTTCATATCTTCCAATACTGCTCTTTGTAAATCCACTAAAATCTTATACTAAATTGATGGTTATCCTTCTTGCCCTGTTCTCAACACACAAAGGTTTTAAAAGCACAAAACAAAGTCAGCCAACTTTGTTAAGATGCAGGCACTTTTTAGACAGCTGAACACTCTAGTAAAGTAAGTGACTCTGCCACCCTGCAGTAGTAGATGGCTGAATACTAAGACTATTTTAGGATAGTCAAAATAATGTTAATTTAGTAGATGTCAAATATTTTTCTTTGTTTGCAATCATTTGAAAATAATTGAGGGGATGGACTATTCCTAGAGGCCTAAAAGATAACAGCACAGATATTGTGGATTGAGTTATGCCCACCCCCAATAATTCTTGCATTGAGTCTTAAAGCACCTCAGAATGTCACCTTATTTGGAAGTAAGGTCACTGAAACTGGACTTTGTTAAGATGAGATCATTGGAATGGGTGCCAATGCAGTACTACTGGTGTACTTATGATACATGGAAATGAACATTTGAACACAGAGACAGACATACACAAAGGAAAGAACAGCAAGAGATAGAAGGAGCTGACAATCATTTACAAGAAAGAAAGAAACAGCTGCAAAGGACCTTTTGCCCAAACAACTCTCAGGAGGAAACTACCCCCACTGATATACTGGTTTCGAGTTTTTGACTTATAGGATCCTGAAACATTAAGCTTCTGGGTATTTTTAAAACAGTTTATTTCCATTTTAAATCCATGAGTATTTTTGGCCTGCATTTGTATATGTGCACTATGTGCACACAGAGTCCTTGGAAGCCAGAAGGTGGTATCAGATAGGCTGGAACTGGAGTTACAGAAGGTTGTGAGCCACCATGTGGGTGCTAGAAACTAGCTCTGGTTCACTCACTGCAATAGCAGCTGGTGCTCTTAATGACTAAGTCATCTTTCCATCACCAAACTGTTATATAAATATTTGTGGAATTCTGTGCTACCTTGAAAAACTAAAAACATATCGCCTATCTGAAGTTTTAGATAAAGGAATATTTTAAATCATCACTTTGTATTGATAAATCAAAAGTCATAAAATATCTATAGAGGTGATACCTGATAACCTCTTTAATATATATGAAGGCCTTTACTATATGTGATGGGCTTTTTAAATTATCTGAAATCTCCAAGGTAACTGAAAAATTCAATTAAATAGAAATTTAATTTTAAATAAGTTTGATTTTATAGTTCATCATATACACATACATAACATATATATGTATATATATATATCAATCATGTCAGGCATCATATATTAGGGTTTTCTAAATACCATGCATTAGAGTATGAGTAGTAAAAAAATATGGTATATACTTCCCTGAAGTTTACAGTTATGTGGAATAAATTGTTCATGTCTGTATTGATGTATGTTGTGTGACTCTGTGTGAATGTTTCTGTGTTTGTCTATATGAGTGTGTGACTATGTGTTTGTCCATGTGTATCTGTATTTTGTCTTTGTGTGTGTGCTTATGTGCATGTGTTTTAAATTGTGTGTATAAATGTGTATGAGTGTCTGTATGTATATATATATGTATATATATATATATATATATATGTCTGCCTGTACGTGTATCTCTACGTATGTGTTTTAAAACTGAGTCAGGCAGAGCTCTGGGAATCCAGTTGAAGAGAGGGAGGAACATATGAGCAAGAGAGGTTAAGATTATGTTGGAGAAATCTACAGACAGCTGAACGAAGCTTGTGGAAACTCATGAACTCTGGATCCACAACTGTGGAGACTCCATGGGACCAAACTAGGCTGCTAGGCTGGTGCCATTATGTATTTCTTATTTAAGCTTAGTTAAGCAGTGTTTCTCTATCCTCTCTGTTTCAGTTTCTGCTTTCAGGCTCTTGTCTAGAGTTCCTGCCCTGACTTCCTCCAATGATAGATCATAATCTATAAGCTGAGATAAAGCCTTTTCTCCACAAGTTGCTTTTGATAAGAGTTTTTTTTATTACAACAATAGAAAATCAGATTAATGTAGTACCCTGTAGTCAGTTATTCTATTCATTTTGATCAGTGTGTATCTCTACAGTAGGCTTTTCTGCTACCAAAAAGTTTCTTTTATGAGAAAACAAGATGGGCCAGTCCTTTGGGATTCCT